AGTGTCTTCTTAGCAGTCCGGTTTGCCAACAAGATCTTCTTCTCGCAGTATAAAGATGTGAACTTTACACAAATAACAATAACAACCGGCTTCATTTTCGTTCTTTGCTTTAGGCTGTTCGCGCATATGACCACTAATTCCTCCCTCTGCTACATTCGCTGCTTTACGCTGCTCACATGGCCGTTGACTTGTCGGAGGCTCGTCTTTATGCACAGAAGTTCGCGCGTTCGCAAGAGAGCCGCTTTGTTTTTTAGCAGTAGATGCACTTACATGTTGGCTCTGGTTGTCCGCTATCAGAGTTGGTGTTGTTATTGTGTGCTGTAATGTTTTCCCGCGCAATGAACTGCATTTGTCATAACGATATTTTTTATAGTTTGCTTTGAAAAACTCAATGTCAGCAGGTTTTAGATTAACACATTTACAGTGAAATAGTTTTTGCAATCAGAACAATCAATTTTATTTGCACTATTGCGTTCAATTTTTTCTTTTCAGTTCATTTTAAAAATTATATGCTTTAGAAATTACGTGTGGTTGACAATCAAAGCGAGTGCCCCACGACAACTTTCTTTAACATATCTAGTTCCTGGTAGGGTATCTTTGGTTTCCCCGCTTCTCCGCCATTGGGCGGACGCAAGTCTCTGCTGCTGTTGCCCGCTTCTCTGCTTTTCAGCAGGCGCGGGTCTGTGTTGCTGTTACCCGCTTCCCTGTTTTTCAGCAGGCGCAGGTAGTTCACCTGTGTTGCTACTCTGCTGCTTACCAGCGGTTGCAGCTCTGTTGCCTCTGTGCTTGCGCTCTTCGCGCTCACGTTCCTCACGCTCCCTCTCTTGCCGTACTTCCGCCATAGTGCGGAATTCATTCGCAGATTTCTCCTGCTGAAGGTACCGAAGATACCACTTGACTCCCGGCCCATCAAGACCAGCTCGATGCTGGTCGTCAAGGGCTCCCGGTTGACCAGAGGGGGGTTGTGGAGGAGGTCTGCACCTGCGACTACGCTTCTTATTTTCTTGTACCTGCCACCCTGACTCATGCGACGCTGAGGAAGTCGACTGGGAGACCTACGGTGCCTACTGCTGGAGCGATGCTTGCTCTCCGAGCGACGCCGGTCTGCTTCTGCTCCCTTGAGGCTTTCCGAACGATGCCGCGCCTGATCCACGCCGCCCCTGCTGGTGCTTGGCTTTTCATCTTCTATGCCGTGTTCTATGAAGAGGGCAGCCTCTTCCTCGGTCAGGTTTTCAAGGAAGCTACCCCTGCGCCTGGTGCCCTTACCCCCGCCCAGCATGTTACTGCCTTGCGCGGCCGTTGCCGTTTTTTGTGCTGTTGATGCTGTTTTCGCAGCAGTAGTTGCTGTTGACGCTGTTGCAACTGTTGTAGCGATAGTTGCAGTTGTGGCTGTTGTTGTAGCTGTCGTTGTCGCTGTTTTCGCGATTACTTTAGTGTTTTTTGTTGTTGTTGTTTTTTCTTTAGTTGTATACATGTCAATTAAATGGAAGGGGATCTCATCTGGTCCGCCGCGCCAGCGCCCCAAGTTGCGGTAAGGCCACCCTTAATCCTCGATACGGCCCGGTGTCGAAGAGGCGCCGTTATAATATAGCCAGTTTATACCCTCCCAGCTGCAAACCGTCCAATAGGCACGGTGTCGCATCACACCCTGGATTAGGGGGTGGCAGTTCTTAGTCACCGTTCGCCGGCAGCCCCAAACTGGAGAAGAGGCAGCGCAGAAGCGGCGAGCGCGTCAACGATGCCCCAGACCAGAGAGGGACTGGTCGGCGATTCAGCTAAGCCCCCGCACCAACGGCAGGGTGCCTGCCCTAGCAAGGTAGATCAGCTGAAAGACAAATTAATTATCTTTTTTATTTATTATCAATAGTCTTGAAACGGTTATGTAGTTCATAATATATTAATATTTAAAAAATATAAAAATTTAACATTAGCCTTTTAGAACGTCTTCATTTTTTAGTTGCGTCAAAAATTTTGGCATGGTCGAAATGAGCGTAAAAAGTTCTATTGATATACGTTTTTCGTTTTTGCATAGCTGAACGGTCGGTATTCTAGATTTGTTCCAGGAAATGACGAATAACCTAAATTAAAACTGCATATATTTACGTATTGTTCAGTATTTCCATTAAAACACCAAAAATATATTGCAAATTCGCATAGAATTAATAATACACATTTTACTTATAATTCTATACTTAGCGTACTTACGAAAAAAAGCACGGATTTAAAACTTTTTGATGTTAGTCAATAGGACATATGAATATCTTTAATACGATATACAAACGTTATATACAGCTTATAAAGTTTTAGCAAAAATTTTATTTAACAAAAAAAGTTACAAAATTTTTTTAAACAATCACATGATTATTCAAATTGCCTTATTAAACATATTCAAACATTTCATAATCCAATAGGATATAAAACAAGCTTCATTCAAGCTTTTCATTTGATACACATCATGTATTCAGTCCGTACTATACAGAGTATTTAAAAAAAAAACGTAGGTGGCCTTCGGCCGCACTTAGTGATTGCAACCCTCACTAAATAGAATTCCCCTCTCTGTGTTGCGAAAGAAAAGGGGCAGAACACCTTTTGAAGAGAACACCTTTCTGTGTAGGCGACCTTCGGCCACAGTTAGAGATTATAACCCTCACTAAGTAGAATTCTCCTTGCTGTGTTGCGAATGAAAAGGGGCTGAAAACCTTTTGCAGAGAACACCTTTCTGCGTAGGTGGCTTTCGAAGAGATTATAACCGTCACTAAGTAGAATTCGCCTTTCTGCGTTGCGAAAGAAATGGGGCTGAACACCCTTTGCAGAGAACGCCATTCTGCGTAGGCGGCCTTCGGCCGCACTTACGCTTTCTACACATTGGTCGTCCGATCATAGTTGCTTCATCGTCACAATCATGATGCAACGCTTACATGACGACTACACTTTCGCACACTCGGTCGTGATATTTCAATTCATTTGGCGTCAAAAAATTCACTTGGAGCAGATATTTTCTGTTTTTCTGGTTGATATTTTCGGGAAATATTTACAAAACCCTGCACTTGTACAAATATGGACTGTGCTAAAACAATTATAGACATAATTTTTCAGTAATATATCTTCATTTCTTTTCCTGAAATGTGTTTTGTGCACGCTCGCAGATACTTTTTACAATTTTGGCATATTTTATAGTTGAAACTCTCACGTTTATTGAATTTTATTACAATTATCCACTTTTTAATCATTTCCACAGAATTGTTGCAAAAAATATTCATTTTTATCCAATTTTAATGCAAAAATTAACATTTTCAATAACTTTTACCCATAAAATGTAAACAAACAATGCGTGCTCAACGATTAGCAAACGACAGTGCCGTACTTATCCGTTTCTGCACCTTCTACGATTTGCCGATAACTAGCCGATAACGACAAGTGTGCACATCTCCTTTGAAATGCATGTGATCGGCTCGATTTTCAGGGCGACACGATAACGCAACTATGGTCGGTGTTATGCAGACAAACTTTTGTTTGCCAAATTAAATGGCGGCTGCTTAGTTTGCTCGGAGGTGGTTATGTCGAGTTTGGCACAGGGTTGCACGTTCATTATGGTTTTCATGGCTATTGCCAACTCGAAATGAGAATTTCAGATGTACATAACGCGCAAAATTTAAAATTTTTGTATATGACAACACCGAATTTGCTGCAGTTTGACCAAACAAAATTAGTTTGCTGTGAGAGTCGCCAAACTCGCTCTCTCCGAGTTTGCTGCAACAACAATTGCACGCAGTTTGCCAAACAAAATTTCTGCATAACACCGACCTATGATTGGACGACAAGTGTACAGATAGCCTTAGGGATTGTAACCCTCACTAAGTAGAATTCTCCTTTCTGTGCTGCAAAAGAAAAGGGGCTGAATACCTTTTGCAGAGAACACCTTTCTGCGTAGGCGGCATTCGGCCGCACTTAGGGATTATATCCCGCTCTAAGTAGAATTCCCTTTTGTGTGTGAAAAGGGGCTGAACAGCTTTCTGCGTAGACGGCCTGCGGCCACACTTAGGGATTATAACCCCCACTAAGGGCCGTTTGCACCATGTCTAGTTAATTCTAACTCCCAGTTAAACATCTTTATCGACGTTATCGTTACCCATCATATAACATGTGATCAATAAAGCAGTTAACGTGCTTAACTGAAGGATGTGCCTCTAGTTAGCGTTAACTAGACATGGTGCAAACGGCCCTAAGTAGAATTCTCCTTTCTGCGTTGTCGGAGAAGAGGGCAACTTATGTGAATAAACTACAGTAAATGTAAGATTGTCACTTGCTCGTAAATGCATTTACATTTTTTATTATCACTGTATTCTTAAGCCTCGAAAGCAGATCATAATAAGATATTTATTCCAAATTAAAAGTAATAACTTTTACTTTCTAAGTAAAGTACATTTGTTTAACATTAATCACGTAATTTTTCCAAAAAGGTCATTTTATGAAATAAATTATGAAATGGTTTAGTTTTTTAATATGTTGGGCTTTAAGATACGAAAAATAATATAAATAAGATACATTAACTGACATTTTGACACATTACTTTTTTTAATCGGTTATGTAGTTCATAAGATATTGATATTTAAAAAAAATCTAAAAAAATAAATTGCAACACTAAATATCTTGAAAACTGGAGGCTCCGAGTCCTAAAACTGGGTATTTTTGAAAAGAGGAGAAGCCCAGCTTTCTAATGGCAAAGTAAAAATTTGTCGCCCCAGTTATCGTAATCTCTCCTACCTCTCTACTACCGTTTTCGCAAAAGCCGATCACATTCTTCCCCTTTCTCCTACTTCCAAAATACAAATCTAGATAAAGGAGTGTAAAATTATAGCCGTCACAAATTGCATAATTATTGAATCATGGATCATATCGATGTTATTGCATCTGACAAAATTTTTTATGCCGATCCCGATCATTGCCCACTAAAACACAAAGAAGAGTGTTCTCAATGTATCGAAATGAAAGTATCGATACTTGTTAAAAAATACTTGGTATCCAACAAAAGTATCGAGTATTTACTTTTACTCGCTGGTATCGTTTAATCTATATTTTATAACAATCAAGGCGTGTGGATAGGTTTATTAGAACGATTTTCACAAGTTGTGTGATATAATTGGTATAAAAAAAATTCATTCTGACATTTTGCTCAACTTTCCGTCCCAAGAACGAAAATATCGGTGAACTTGAACGGGATCTCTAATCTTCTAAATCTGCTGTTGGAATTGTTGTGTAACATTTTACGGTGCTGAGAAAACTAACGTTTTTCAAAATGGCTCAAGAGAACGAGATAAGTAGCAAAGAAAAAAACTCGTCTGGAGACGTCCCATCATCTGCAACAGACACGACAGATGCTCTCTACGTTGAAGGTATAGTAAAATTTGTTTAATACATTTTCCTTAAAGCGAAACTTGAAAGTAAATATGTCGGTGCTAAAGCTCTCTAGATATGAGGTTTCATTGGCTAATTAACACCCCTATGCTGTAATCCGTCGTAGATTCGATTTTTCTACGAATCGTAAAATTGGTATGCGGGAAAATTTTCGGTAATTCTCTAGGGACGGGTAACAACCCCTAAAAAAGGTGCGGAAAAGTCGGGAGGGGCACCAAACGACGCGTTTCGGCCCCCCTAATAACAATCCGGAGGGGGGAGATAATATTATTAACCATTTAAAAGTTATGAACAAAAAACTTTGTTAAATTTCGTTGTTTTCTATGAGCAATTACCACGTCAAAAATGCACTAAATCACCAGTTTCCACTTTTAAAACACTACTAAAACGTTTCCGGGTATTATTTTATGCAAACCAATTCATTTATTCACTTTTATTTTATATATTTCGTTAATAAAACAGAGTAAACAAACTTTGCGCCTGCTAAAATTATTATAACCTCAAATCGCTGGTATTGCCACTTTATTTCACACTTCATTTGCGCTATTATACTCAGTTTACACTATACACTTCTTCTTCTTTTTACTTTCATCTAATTAAGATATTGTAACCAAAATATAATAGCAAATTTCGCTATACCATCGCGCGGTTTTTTATTAAAAATTTTCATTATTTATCGAGGTATTGATTTTTATGAAAAAAGCGCCGCAGGCGAAAATTGTTAATAAAAAATCGCGCGATTTTTTTATTAAAAATTTTCATTATTTATCGAAGTATTAATTTTTATAGAAAAAGCGCCGCAGGCGAAAATTTTTAATAAAAAATCGCGCGATTTTTTATTAAAAATTTTCATTATTTATCGAAGTATTGATTTTTATGGAAAAAGGGCCGCAGGCGAAAATTTTTAATAAAAAATCGCGAGATTTTTTATTAAAAATTTTCATTATTTATCGAAGTATTGATTTTTATGGAAAAAGCGACGCAGGCGAAAATTTTTAATAAAAAATCGCGCGATTTTGCAAACTAACACATAACATGTGTTGCCATATTGTACAAAACCATACATACAAAGAAAGCAATGCTTAATGCGTTCAGAAGACGTACGTCTCTTTGATTGGAAAAATTTATATTGGGATCGATAGGTGTCTTAGTCCTGGTCATAGTCTTAATAGGCATAACTGGGGCGGCAGCCCCAGGTTTACCACACAGAAAGGGAATTCTACTTACCTTATCCTTTCCCAAGGCTACATCACTGGGGCGGTAGCCCCAGTTTGTGCACACCAAAAGGAGAATTCTACTTGGTAAGGGTTATAATCCTAAAACGCGGCCGAAAGCAGCCTTCGCAGAAAGGAGAATTCTACTAAGTGAAACTTCCGAATTAAAAATACGCTTTTATTAATCAAAATTCCAGTCTGGCAGCACCAAGTTTGATATTATTATTATTATTATGATTTATTAACAAAATTAAATAAATTAACCTGCTTAATGAGCATTAGCTGCCAGGGCTATCAGCTCTACTAAATTATATATGCGTATATGATATGTACATAAATGTGTGTGTTAGCAAGAAATGTAAAGTGAAAATTTGAACTATGCAATGTTGCTTCGATGAGAAGTAATGCTTCTGACGTCGTTGTCGATGACGGAACCGGATAAGAAGTGACT